CTGATGTGTAGGAGGAAGTCAAGCACACGAGCATGCACACAAATGTGCAAACATTGCACAGAGAAACAGGCACTCACCCGAAGCAGATGGAAGCTCAGTCACATTCCTTATGAAGCTGATGTATGGAGAGTATAACTACAACACTTCAGTAGCTCCCACACTCCAAGGATAAATAAAGACCTTGTGAGGAGCTTAGGCACTTAAACTGAACACTATTAAATATTTAAGGACAATGCAATTGGCAGTAAGAGACATATTGACATTGGAGACATGCATTGTTCATATGGATGACTGTGATCAATAATGGTCTGTAATGCTATAAAAAAAAAAAAAAAAAAAAAAAAATACAAAAAACAAAGAAAACTGTTCATAACCTTTATGAGCAGTATTTTTAGGCAAAGACAAAGGGAGGAAGCGGTCTGGTTTGGGGAGCAGTGGATCTCTTCCCTACTTTTTGTAGATAATGTGGTTCTGCTGGCCCCCTCATTCAAAGACCTACAGCATGCACTGGAGACGTTACCAGCCGAGTGTGAAGCGGCCGGGATGAAAATCAGCTCCTCCAAGTCCGAGACCATTGTTCTCGACTGGAAAAAGGTGGCTTGTCTCCTTCAGGTTGGAGGAAAGTTCCTACCTTAAGAGCAGGAGTTCAAGTGTCTTGTTCATGAGTGAGAAGAGAATGAAGCATGAGATAGAAAGATGGATGGAGACTCCACATCATAGCAGCAGCGGCCTGTCATGTCGAATAGAGCTGAGCAAAAAGGCAAAGCTCTTGGATTTTTACGCTCACCTATGGTCATGAAGTATGGATCATGACTGAAAGAATGTGATCCCCTATACAAGCGGCTGAAATAAGCTTTCTCCATAGGGTGGCTGGGAATGCCTTTAAAAGTGAGGAGCTAGGTCATTCGGAAGAGGCTCCTAGTAGAGCTGCTTCTCCTTCACATCGAAAGGAGTGGGTGGAAAAGTGGAAGAAAAAAGTACAAGAAAAAATAAAAATTGAATATTAATATTTTATTTCACAAAATCATCATTTAGTAAATTTGTATTCATTATTACTTTTTTTTTAGTTTTGGGATTTTTTAATTACTAGTGTGAATTTTTGATTATCTTTATTGGGATGGTATGTATGGACAATGGGCCAGAGTATCTGACTAGCCTCATTTTTTTTTTTTTTATTCTAGTTTTGCCAAAGATTGAACTTTCTTCTCTGTGTGCTTTAATATATTTACTCAGCGTAAATAATAATCTCTAATATATATTACAATATACTTCATTACTTACATTATTTTAGCATACGTAATTTTATTAGTCTATACCAATATAAACTATTGATGTATTCCTTCACAAAGTCCATCTCTCATGTTTTAACCCATAACTGCATTTAACAACAGAAAAAATTATTTGCACAAATATGCAGAACTTAAATGGCAGTACACATACACCTAACGCTATATTTTTCAATTGTCTTACAATGTAACCCCATTTCACGCTAATTACTCACTCAGACTTTATTTATGAGAGTTGTTCGAGTGTAGATTCTCAGCCAAAAACTGTATGTTGATTTAAATTTACATAAAACCATATGAGTTTTTAAATGTTGTCAGCAGTTAAACAACCTTTTTTTTTTTCTTTTCTTTTTTTTTATCTTAATATCCTGACCAAAGTGCATTTATGAATTTTCTAAAGGCAATGACTGTTGAACCAACCAACATCTTTTATTTCATTTTTGACATCTTAATAGTGGGTAAAAAAGGAAAAAGAGTCTAATCACAGTTTCTTGAAAAAAAAAAAAAACTTTTTAAAGTGATAGTGAGACAATGGAAATGTATAAATATAAGCTTTCCACTTGGTTAATCAAACACCATCTGTGTTTAATTTGAGATAACTGACAATAAAACCCATTAATGGACAGTTTTCCTCTTCTGGCATTAGGTATTAGATTTCTTGTAAAAACGAAAAAAACAACAAAAAGAAATTTAATTACTCAACCTAAAGGAAGGTGATGCAGGTACAATAGATTGTTCAAAGTATCAACGATCATTAACAATAAGCAAACATTATTGTAGAGGCTGGAGATGAGTAAACCACCATAGGCCTCAGAAAAAGTTAAACTTGCTGAAAATATTAGCTGAGAGGGACTTTTGACCAATGAACAAGAGACCTCTTTGGTTCATAAAAACATTTTAAATATCGTGTTTGTTAGGTTTTACACAAGATATGCAACAGTTGTAGTACATGTCTTAGATATTACTGTATGGTGGCCTTCAAAACTCGAAATTTAGCCAAACTAGTCATTGTGCAAACTCCTCCAAAGCTTTGAATGAGATTTGCTTAACAGTCCCTCTAAGCCTATGTTTGGCTATGTTGCTTCTATACTCGTCTATCTTACCTTTACTTTCCAATGAGGTGTTGGATTGTTTAGCTCTGAACTTGAAAACTATCAGGCCAACGTTTACATGACTTTTTAGGCTACAAAATGACAAGAAACAAATTTTGAATGTGGATAATATCGTGTTATTGGTGGTATATAATACAAACATAATGTTTTTTTTTGGGGAAAAAATAAAATCAATAACATTTAAAAACAATTAGAGCAGGCATCCACAAACTCTGTCCAGGAGCGCCGCTGTCCTGCAGGTTTTAGAGGTTTCCCTGCTCCAGCACAGCTGATTTACATTGATAGTTGATTAACAGGCTTTTGCTGAATTGCAATCATCAGAATCAGCTGTGCTAAAGCAGAGAAACCTCTAAAACCTGCAGGACAGCGACCCTCGAGGACCAACATTGGGGATGCCTGAATTAGAGATTGAAATTTGCTTAATAAAGTGTCACTTTTGAGATGGCCTAATCATAAAGAAATATAGCATTTTTAATTATATTCTAGGTAATATACTGTAGATACACCTGCATGGCAGTTCTATTAGCATTACTCATTGCAGCAAACATTATCAAATTTGAACTCAGTGAAAAGATGTGTGATTAATAAAGGCAGAACCTTGACACAACAAAAGACAAGATAAGACTGAAAAGGAGGGACAGACAGAACAGTAAGGGGAGGACAAGCTATTAATTGCTCACAACAACATTTACCAAAGAATTGATTTTATAACAATCACTGCTCCAAACAAACTCAATAGTCCTTTTCATTTCTTATAAATACTATGCTATTGCTAAGAGCATGCTTGGTGTGAGGGATTGTTGTCAACTCAATGAGTCGAAGCTGGTTTTCCTTAGATAGAAAACTTTGAATCAATCTGGCTGTATGATCTGGTAGAGTTGTCTCTGTAAAGTGCCTTAAGATGACATGTGTTGTGAATTGTCGCTATGAATTGAATTAAATTGAATGTGTCTGTCTGCCTGTCACTTTGTTGAAGGTACACCTGAATGTCTCCACTCTGGGATGATAAAGGATGTTTTTTCATTTTTACTTTAAAGATAATTTTTAGGCTCTAGTGGCCTTCCTTTTGGGTATGTTTGTAAGTAGATAGACAGGAAAGTGGGAAAGAAATGACCACATTAACGATAAAAGCCTCTAAACATAGGTTGACCACGTACCCCCTTAACCACTGCTTCTCTTGATAAGAGATATTTCTATTCTATTTTATTCTATTCTATTCTAGCAGCCATCTGGGGATCAACACAGGGGAGTCTGTCAAAGGAAGGAGAAGGGAGAGACCCTGCTGCGGACCCTTGACCCTCAAAACTGGGTTAAGAGGTTAGAGACACAGAAACTTGGATAACCGTCCCTCAATACCTCTCTTCACACACTCTGTCAAGCTCTCGCTCACACACACACACACACAGATCTATAAATACTGTGTTATCAGCAGCACTGTTTCACAGCGCCCTGCAACTGAGCCCTGCCCTACATTCAGAATGCACTGAACATACTAGAAATTATAACAGCTGAAGTCCAGGAGCCCGTATTCAAAGAAAATAAAAGCTCACAGTTGATCTGTAAGCAAAAACATTTATTAGTCTTCAGAAAGCAAGAAAGCGAGGTCTGCAGCTTGTGCACAGCGTGCTGCTCCCTGAAAAGAAAAGCATTACAAACTACTTGTTTCTTCATGCTTCACGGATATTTATAAGGGCCACTTTAAGCATCAGGCATTTGGTCTGAGCCTTGGCATTAGGAGGAGGTATCAAATATGTGAAGGCATGAAGTTATGAAGGAAATGGAATCCCACCACTATGACAGCTGTGGTTTCAGAGCTGCCTTTTTGGGGAGGATTAGATTAAAGTATGTATCTGAAAATGAAGGAGATCAAGGGGAAACTTATTTTTTATTTTTTTTTTTTCAAGAGTAACTGATCCTACCAACAAGGTGGACATATTACAGAGGTACCCCAAGGCAAGAAATGAATAGGTGCTTGTGTATATCGGTTTTCCTGAGGTAGACAGACCAATTCTGTACGAACTGGAGAAACACACTGATTATAAAACTTTTTTGTTTGTTTTTATATATCTTCAATATTATTTTGTTGTGCAATTGACAAAAAAGACAACATTTTGCACCAATTCCACACTTTGTACACACTAAATTCCACACTAAAATTAATTTTAAAAGCTTGAGATTTATAAAAAAAAAAAAAAAAGTCTATATGCCAATATCTACCTCTTAAGTCAATTTGAAATTAAGATGGCAAGTTAATTGAAAAGGAAAACACCTATACATTTTCAAAAATTATTGTGTCTTACCTTAATTCCACACAGCCGACATACTAAAGAAAGTGGTTACTTTACAGCGTACCCAAATCAAATTATAAGTAATATATAGACATGATGTAAAATAAGGTAGTGTGTGTTATAAAGGTGTAATGCTAAAAATAAAAAAAACGGCTGCATAGCACAACTAGCAGCTCAAAACCCCAAAGACTACCTATCATACAGGAGGACATTTTATTGGTTTGAAAAATGACCTAGCAATATTGCTTGGTTTATTTTGGGTTTTATGTGATCCACCTTAATAGTAAAATGACTGTGTGTGATCAGAGACTCACCAGTGAGGTTGGTGCGTGCACTATAGGATCCCAGGTACCGCCCGTCAGTGTTGGGGGTGTAACACTCAAACACACCTTGATCCCTGGCTTGCACTTTGGTGATGTGAAGCACTGCTGAGTCATCACTCAGTCTCTCCACATAGATCTCCTTACTATTCACTCTCTGGGCATACACAGCATAAGCATAGTCTGACTGAGCCGTGCTTACGATCCGGATCTCCCGTTCTGGCAACGATGGTAGGTACATGGACCAGTCAAAGTCCTGTTTCACACCATTTTTGTAGCCCGATACGTTGCACCAGATGGTCACGTGGGAACCTTCGGTCCGAACCAGAGGTCCACTCTGGACAGTCACAACCCTCTGAGCAACTGCAACACCTGGGGTAAGGAAACATTCGGAAGAATGGGTAGGAGAAAAAGAAAAAAGAAAGGATGGAAAGAAAGTGGAAAAAGAGAAGAAAAAAGAACATGGGTTACAAAACGGCATTTCAGATATTTCGCACTGACATAGTTTAGGCACCACACATCTCCAAACAAATACAATCTGTGGGCAGTTCAAATCAAGTCGGAAATGTCCACGGACAATCAGACAAACACTGTTTTTAAGAGGCACTCGAAAGAGATCACCGTAAATGTTGCTCTAAGCTATTACACAAGCTCGCACATTAGCTCTTCACCTAACACGCAGCAACGAGGCTGCACTACATTGAGGTTAGAGGAAGCCATCTGGGAGTGACCTGAGAGCACAGCGTGAGCTGGTAAAACACAAGCCTGTGAGACGCATTAAGGCTGTCAAGCTGCACAGAGAACAGGTGCTTTTGAAGTAGATAATAAACAGTGTTTACCCAGATGCATCCCTAATCTGTTTGTTGTGCCATGATTCCAGAGCATGGATGAGCACAAACTGTGGCTTTTGAGTCTAACTGAAACATCAGCCAGGCTGTCATTTCCAGCTCTTTGTTTATCAGCAATATATGTGACACTAACAAGCTGATCTAATAAAATGAATAAGATTCAAGAGATTTTAAAATAAAATATTATTTTCAACATAAAATAATTAAGTTTAGAAATGTAATTTTCCCCATCACTAATAGAAAGCACTATTCTACAAATATGTAATTAAATACGGTATATACTTTTTAAATATATATACATTTCAATATGGTATTACTTGTTTGTTTCTTCTATTATGTGATGGTATGAATGTAAATGATTAAATCAAATAGTTAATATAATCAGGAACCCCCCCCCCCCCCAAGTCTGATAATTTCAAAACAAACATTTTTGACACAAAGATTGCCTTTGGGAGACTCTTAAAAAGCTGAAATGCAGTTAATTACATGATATCCCATATGAGACCACATGACATGATTGCTCGTTGCTGTAAAAAAAATACTTTTCTTATATAATATGTTAAACTGATGTGTGGCCTCTCATTGGCAACACGGAAAAGAAAATTATAGAAAAATAAACCAGAATGAGCACTTTTACTACACTTAAGAGAAAATTATGATTACAAATTGCTTGAGTGGTTATTATTTTTAATTACCATGTATCCTTTGTCAAAACATCTGAGATACACTGATCTCATAATTAAATAAATGATTTACTGGTCTCTTTAAACAGTTCTCCTACATGTTACACCCACGATACTGTAGTTAGCTGCAGTGCTAAACATTTTTTTTGTACTGCTAGATTGAGGTAAACAAGAGTTCAACTATTATTACTCCACTTCAAACCCACGCATGTATTTGCTTGAAGTGACTTTCTGTTGAAGGACATATAAGAAAAAAAATCTAACTCTATGAAAGACAGTGTCCTTGAAAATACATTTTGACCATTAAATAACTGAGAAGTAATTAAACGGAAGGAAATTACATGCCCTTTCTTCATTCATAGCGACCACCTCGAGTGCTTTTACACTAGAGCTGCATCTGAAATCATGACATTATGATACCAGCAGAAAATGCTGCTGATGATGATGCCTGCAGAAAAGACGCTGAGGAAAATATAAAACAACGTTAGAGAAAAATAAAATACAAGACTTGCTAAGTAGAATTTGAAGAACAGAAAAAAACTTGTAGAAGATGTGACCCCCTCAGTTCCACTGGATTTGGAATCAAGCTGCTCCGCTCCTTTTCCCAGTCACTATTTCACCGCGACGTTTTCGGAGCAGAGCAACTATGTGCAGTTGGACTCTGCTCAGGTCAGGATTTCATCACTGCACTACTGTATGCAAGGGTAATGGTTTTGTTTAGGGTTAATGTCAGGGTTCGGAGATAGAGAGGCTTGAAAATGACTGAAAATCAATGTCCTTCCTACCTGTAGTCAAGCAAGAATCAGTGAGTGTATGCTTCACTGTCCTCATAAATGTGCATACATGTATACTGATAGATAATGCAGATCAAAAATCAAATAGGGGCCAAGTACAAACAACTAGCTGTTTGTAATTATTATGGCTTGTTCGCAGCTTACACACAGCCAGGACATACAATCCAAGATTAACAATCGGTTAGGAATATAATGCGAGAGTCTGTTAAACCCTAATAATACCTGCCTGTTGCATGTCAAAACTAACTTTTTCTCAAATAGTTTATCTAGTAAGGAGAATTCCTCTGTCAAGATAAACATCATCTTCATTATGTACGTGGCAAAGATTTGGTAATTGAATGAGAGCAGTGTCCTTGATCCAAGAGGTTTCAAGAATTTCCTTCTTTCATCTGCGGAATATTGCAAAAGTTGCAAACAGAGAGAATTTGATTAACAATTCTCAATGTTTTTCCTGCTTAAATAAACTTTAAATAAAAACACATAAATTGCCACTGAGGTGAACTACAGATTTGGCTCATAGTGTGTTTGTAAATCTCTGCATAAGGTACTGGTCTGCTAGGTCTCCAAACTTCATCTCCTGACTTCCCTCTCTCACTGGGCAGTTTAACATTTGAAACATTAATTCATGCTGACTTAAAATTAAAAGAGAGAACTTGTTTCAATGAAAAATCTAATTAATAAACATTGGTAACATCTTTTAACATTGGTAATATTGAATGATACAGTCTTCCCACCCTTACAGAGGTATTAAAGACTGGGGATGTCCAATGAGCAGAAACAGTTTGTAGTGTAAAAAGCCCCTCTGTAGAGTGATTATTACCCTTCTGTGTAACCTATATTTAGGCTTACAACAAATGTGAAGGTTGACTCATCCTCTAAAACGCACACACACAAATTCACACATAACACCACCATTCAGGGAGCAACTACAAACAACCCTCTCACTGAGGCCGGAGACAACAGAGCACTTACACATACCCCAAATCTAGACAAGGCGACAAGCACGCTGTTTCATGTCTGCACAAGCAACTGGGGATTGCAGCTGTTTTACTGTGTGTGTGCAGATGTGTGAACGTGTGTTACAGAGAAAGAAAGTCTGTTTGAGTCAAAGTCTATGGGCCCAAAGCTCAGTATTAATAATTCACCACGACAGCTTTTTAACGTTTACATCCTCGCCCCTCTCACACTTCCGCCTAAAACTCCTTTGTGTCATTCACCATTGTTAACTCATGTCCATTTACGACCATGTAATGTGTGTCCAAGCGAGGAAAACATGCATCTGTATTTCCATTTGCACTGAAAAATGCAGCTATGTTGCTTTAAATTTCAAAAAGCAAACAAAAGAGAAGAGAAAGCAGACATTGGTGGAGAAAAAAAATCTGACTATGCCTGTTTATGTAGCTCTAATCTTTTAATTCTTTGATTCCAAGACTAATGTACTTTAAGGGAAAGCTAAAAAAAAAAAAAGATTTCACGAAAGTATGATTTGAAAATATTGAGTGAAACCCCATCTCAATGTATATAAAAATGTTTATATTATATCTATTATATATATATATATATATATATATATATATATATATATATATATAAACACCCAAGAAGAAAGTCCATTTCATAAGGTTTCTGTTGCTCTGGGGTTCAACTGTAGTTACGTGCCTGCACCCTCTCACTACTTACAGTAGCCCAACAACATATTTTCAAACCTTCAGATTTTATTCTACTGAAGAGGTCTTCTCTTTTGATTTTAATCAAATGCACTGAACATCTTATCCACTATTCCTGCTTTTAGGAAGGGCAAGCATTCACACTGTAATTGAATTACCCCAGGTTCTGGATAAACTGATAGTTGTGGTCTGTCTGTTTCAGGATCTGGGATGGGTTTACATCAGTCTGATCTGCTCTAGAAATGGAATTCCAGCACAGTTAATAGGGTTCTACAGGTTACGTGTAAATGCACTGTAGATTTTTGCTTACCATGTATGTACTATGCATTCATGCATTTGTAATGCTATTTTTGTTAACATTTTGCCTAACACCAGATAAGTGTGCTTTTATAGGTAAAGGGGTAATAATCAAGGTCCAGCTTATATATATCAATGGCTATGAAGCAAAAGCAGAAAGATCCTAACTTTTTTTTGCCTATGTGTTTATTATTTTATGTCGTATTATAGTATAGTCTAGGTTTACTAACATTATTGCAAGTTTTCTGATGTCATGCAGCTCTTTGAGCTTATCCAACATAAGTAGCTAATGGCGCTAATAATTTTGTTAATACGTGTTTTCAACCAACATGCATCATATTTTCTTCAGTCTTGAATGATTCTACTGCCAACAAATACAGAATCCTCTGCTGTTTTTTATGTAAAGGCACAAACTTGGCTGTTTTATTTAAGTATTTGTTGTTTCAGAGAAAAGAAGCTGAGACAGAGCCCCCTTGAGGACATAAAAAAAGAGAATTTAACTGGAGATACTATTTGAAATGAAAATATACATATATAATGTAGTGTATATAAACTGTAAGAGGGTCTATTATTTGAATTTTAAGTCAAACATAATCTATTCTGGATCCCTCTTCTTTTAAAGAATGAACATTGTTTAGAAAAATGATGAAATGGATAATAAGATTAAGTATAGAAGATAAATTCTACCAAGCCTCTCCAAATCCTGATGTGTATTACATTCATTTTAAAGCATTCATATGCTGAATATTTCATCAGCAAGAAATTCATTTAGAAGTTAAAATCCTTCCGGAAGGAGGAAACCTTGAACAGTATTTACTGGCAGAGTTAAAAGCTAAAGGGAATCTGGCTGTAAATGTTGTGGGATGAATTCAAAAAGGACTCTATTGGCTGTATTGGCTCCATGCTGACCTGGCAATGCCACATCTACCCATTTCCAGCTCAGACCAGCTCATAACTATAATGCTACATCACTGCTTCTCATGTTTCAGTCCCTCTTTAAGACCTGCAGGAAATGTATTAGTCATACAACTTAAAAAAAAGACTAATATTACTCATCCCTTACAGTGTTGGTGCATTAAGAGC